ACGCCCTGACATTCACAACGAAGCTCCCCCCCCCAACCCCCCGCTGCATAAAAAAAATCAAAGAGAAGAAGGAGAAATAAAGGAGGGAGAGGAATATCGAACAAACTAGAACAATTAATTAGAACAGAATAAAACCCAGAAAAGCAAAAAGAACTACTTAACAACCTTTACAACAACAACAACAAAGTTCACAAAGACTGACAAAATCTTTAGCATAGGACCAAAACCAGAAAGACGGTGGTAAAAAGTAAATAGGTTGCTTGAACAGCGGAATTCACTGTGCGCTTTGATTACACCCACAAGAGAAATTACGGTAATTCTACACCGCAAACCACACCGGCCGCTGCGGTCACACACGCACGTAGACACATACACAGGGCCATTATCGATGGAAAATCTATCGGTTCGATGAGGAAGAGATGCCTTGGTGGTGGGGACGGGCTGGGTCAGAGTGCCACCCTTTTTGTAAGCACTTACCCGCTAGTGTGTTGTGAGGTCTTGCAGAAACTGGAATGGTGTGTTGCGGGTGGGTAGTTAGAATGTGGTCGGGTCGGAAGTGTGTTTGTCTTGGGGGCGCTGCAGGGAGGAAAGGAAAGAGAAAGGAAGGTTGATGTTGGGAAAGACTTTTCTTTTCGAATAGCGAGGCGGTTCGCAATGGAAAAGCAATAGGAGGGTGTGTTGGTGCTGTCTGTTGGATAGTACCGAGGGGAGTCTATTCTGTGTCTCAATCGGGGCGAGGCAGCCGGGCAGGCGGAGACAAGCTACGACAGCGTTAGCAAAAACTTTCTACTTAACATACCGTCCCTCCCTGTATAAGAGCGCCCAGCAGTAAGAGGCTCTTCTTTACATGATTGCATTCATTTGGCTCTAGTATGGGTTTATTACCTACATTTTTTGATGCTGTCTGGGGCCGTATTTTTTTAAAATTTGACTTTCTCTATTACTCTAGAGGCATATCTCTTGAACATCATCATCATCACCATCATCATCATCATCATCATCATCATCATCATCATCATCATCATCATCAACATCAAAAACAACAAAAACAACAACAGCAACAACAACGACGACGACGACAACGACCACATCAACAGGGCCACCACCACCACTACCAACAACAACAAAGCAGCAACAACAACAACAACAGCAGCAGCAGCGGCAGCAATGACAACAACAACAACAATAACAACAACAATAACAAGGACAAGTGCAATAAAAGCGCTGATTCTGACCACAATCAGAGAACATATCTGTCTTCTGACATAGATTCATTTTCAATGTTTCAAAAATAGAAAACGAACCACGCAATTCACTCGTCAATTACAAAACTAGGCTTGGGGTAAATGGAAGAATGAAACATACTTTTGTTCGTTCTAAAACTGGAACATTTTTCTTTGGCTGTGTTTGGTGGTGTCTTCCAGAAGAGAAATCTGTAAAGAAAAAAAGAACCC